AAGCGGGCGAAGCCGATCCACTTTGCGTGGTCGTACGACGAGGAGGTGGGCTGCCTCGGCGGCAAGGTGCTGACGGAGTTCCTGCGCGACAACAAGATCAAGGCGGACGGCTGCATTGTTGGCGAGCCGACAGGCATGATGGTGGGGATAGGCCACAAGGGTATCTGTGTTATGAATGTCCGTGTGTACGGCAAAGCTGTGCACTCGTCCTTCGCACTGACGAATCACGGCTGCAACGCCATTGACTACGCCGCGAAGATCATCGTGAAGATACGTGAATTCGGAGAGGAGTTCCGCAAGAGCGGCACCCACGACAAGGACTACGTGGTGCCACACACGACGATGTCGACAAACCTCATCAAGGGCGGTAACGCTGTGAACACCGTGCCCGCGGAGTGCGAGTTCAGCTTCGAGTTCCGCAACCTGCCGCAGGATGACGCGGCGACGATTGAGAAGCGCGTGCGCTCGTACGTGGACGACGAGCTGCTCCCTGCCATGAAGGCAGAGTGCCCCGGTGCCCGCATTGAGTTCACGGTGGTGGGCCCAGTGCCTCCCTTCGCGGGTAATGAGGAGGCAGCCATCACAAAGCTGGTGCGTAAGCTAACAAACGATCACGCAGTGCACAAGGCTGCTGGTTGCACGGAGTCGGGCTACTTCACTGGCATTGCGGGTGTCCCCACTGTTGTGTGTGGGCCGCTTGGCGATGCGATCCACTGCGCCAACGAGTACGTTACNCGACGAGTTGCTCCCTGCCATGAAGGCAGAGTGCCCCGGTGCCCGCATTGATATCCGGATGGTGGGCCCAGTGCCTCCCTTCGCGGGTAATGAGGAGGCAGCCATCACAAAGCTGGTGCGTAAGCTAACAAACGATCACGCAGTGCACAAGGGTGCGGCCTGCACGGAGTCGGGGTACTACAATACTATTGCGGGTGTTCCTACAGTTATTGTTGGGCCACTTGGCGACGGATACCACTGCGCCAACGAGTACGTTACGGTCTCGCAGATGGATAAGTGCCGTGAGTTCCTTCTGCAGGTGGCTGACAGCCTCAGGGCCCCTGCTTCCTAATTCTGATGGTTGCCGCGGTACCCTCAAGGGGAATTATTTTTGTCTCTTGTCTTTTTCGGTCCTTCTCTCGGGGAAATACTACTTGAGCTGCCGTGCAGTGATGCGTGGCGACATATAGGAATGTCTTACGCTTCCATGCAAAAAAAAAAAACGGGGAACTGCAGACAAAACATTATTTTTAAACGAATGTTGGAGGTACTTACTATTCAGCGCAAAGGTTTTTAGGCTTATAATTTGGGGACTCCCACACACATCTGTGCCCTCCACGCACATGTCCAGAGCCTACCCTCACTCTCCTTGCTACTCACGCTCAGGCGTTACCTTTGCGAGCCACACACACACTCTCTCCTTTTCTACCCGTCTCTCTATCCCTACTCTCCTCTCCAGAAAAGAAGACACGCTTGACACACTCAGCAATGCCTACACAGCACATGGACTACACCCAGTGGCTGGCGAAGCTTGTCGCCTTTGACACGACGAGCCGCAACTCGAACCTCGACCTCATCCACTACTGCAAAGCGTACCTGGAGGGGCTCGGCGTG